GCCTCTGGCCCCCGAGAGGCCCTTTCCGCTGGGGCTGAGCACGCAGGTGGGGACGGCTCACGAGGAGAGCCCGGGGCCTCACAAATCTCGGTTTAAATACTGGGCCACATGCTTCCCCACAAGCCCACTCGACATGGAAAGCACGAGTCCTTGAGCATTAGGCAACCCAGTTCCCGTTGAGGCTCTGGTCGATGCTACGGATTAACTCTCTCCCCGGGGAGGAAAAAAAATCTGACATGAAATACCTGGGGTGACATTTCAAAGCACCTGGACCTCCTGAAGCCCAATTATTGACGAACAAATATTTATGAATTGTCTACTAGGCTCCAGGCATGGTGCAGGAATACAAGGGTAGGGGGACAGACAAGGCATTTTTCTTCCCGAAGCCCAGAGCTAGAAGGGCTCTGTGTAGTCTCCTGTGGCGGCCATAACAGATAACCACAAACTGGGTGGCCTGCGATAACAGAAACTGACTCTCACAGTCTGGGAGGCAAGAAGCCTGCAGTCAAGGTGGCGGCAGGGTCGGTTCCTTCTGCAGGTTCATCAGGAGAGCCCATCCCAGGCCTCCCCCGGTTTCCGAGGGTTGCCTGGCAACCCTTGTGGGTGCATCACTCCATCCTCTGCCTCCATCCTCACTTCACCTTCTCTTCTGTGTCCCTGTGTCTTCTCCTTGTCCTATAAGGACACCAGCGGTTGGGTTTAGGGCCACTCTAAATCAAGTAAAGATATCACAGAGATCTTCAACTAATGACATTTGCAAAGACCCTATTTCCAAATATGGTCACATTCTGACGCTCTGGGCAGACGTGAATTTGGTGCTGATGCTTCTGAACCCAACACAGGTGGTCAGATGGTTAAGCAGTCACCACGGAGAGCGGCAGAGATGATGACAGGGTACACAGAAGACAGCCAAAGAAGCCATCCTGAGGCCCTCACGTGCAACTGGGAACCAGGTGGTGAGTGGAAACTAAACAGGAGAGGAGTACAGAAGGCTGAGCACTGAGGAACTGATGCTCTCGAACTGAGGTGTTAGAAAAGACTCTTGAGAGTCCCTTGGACAGCAAGGAGATCAAACCAGTCCATCCTAAAGGAGATCAACCCTGAACATTCATTGGAAGGACTGATGCTGAAGCTGAAGCTCAGATACTTTTGGCCACCTGATGTGAAGGGCCAACTCATTGGAAAAGACTCTGAGGCTGGGAAAGATTGAGGGCAGGAGGAGAAGGGGACAACAGAGGATAAGATGGTGGGATGGCATTGCTGACTCAGTGGACATGAGTTTGAGCAAACTCCGGGGGATAGTGAAGGACAGGGAAGCCTGGTGTGCTGCAGTCCATGGGGTCGCAGAGTTGGACACAACTTAGTGACTGAATAACAACAGACAAGTGGAAAGTGTATCAAGAAAAACTAATCACTATCTATAAAATGGATAACCAACAAGGACCTACTGTGCAGCGCAGGGAACTCTGCTCAGTACCCTGTAATGACCCACATGGGAAAAGAATCTGGAAAAGAATGGCTGTGTGTGCATGTATAACTGAATCACTTCACTATATACCTGAAACGATCATATTGTAAATCAACCACACTCTAACACAAAATAAAAGGTGTATTAAAAAAAGAGTTAGACAAGACTGAGCGACAAATCACCACAACAACAAAAGAACTCATGACACAGATGAGGCTTAAACAGAGGGGGAAAGCAGCTGAAGCCATGAGGGGACTACAGCTGGTCCAGACAAGAGGGGCCTGCGGAGGACCAGGGCAGGGGATGGGCTGGGCTTGTACGCTGGTCCTTGGAGTTCAGATCTTATCCTCAGGGTTACTAAATGCCTTTGAGAGGCTGGGAACAGGGAGATGTTTCTTGAAACTTCCTCTTGGCCGAGGGGAGGAGGATGGATGAGAGTGAGCGACACCAGATGCAGGGACCACAGGGTCCCTATCTCAGGAGAAAGCTCTAAGTGTGAGGATGCTCATGGGTGAAGCTCCAGAGAAGCCTGTGAGCTGTCCCAACAAGCCGGCGGGGGTGATTCCCCACTGGAGGAACTTAACCCTGACAAACGGGATCTGGCCAGTCAGAGTGACCACCACCCAATAAGGGAAACCCAAAGTCTGGAAGCCCGACACTTTTTCTCAGTCTCACTTTCAAGGAGGGGAAAGCTGCACTGGAGCAAAAAATTTATAAACACTTGGACTGGTTCAGATATACACCCCTCTTCCATTCTGCAGTCTTCAGAGTTTCGTGCACCATAAATGGACCATAAATCCTGTCAGCTCACAATTAAGTCCTTTGGCCTCTGTATGCCCCACTGACTTTCAGTCACTCTCCAAAGGTCACCTTCTCCCTTAAACTTCCAGGCTGGGGTCCACATCCTCCCCACAGACTCCAAAAACTCCTGATTCAAGCTCATGGGCTAGACTGTAATCTGTACTTTGCTTTCAACCTGTCCCCACTAAGAGACCTTGAAGGCAAGGGTTTTTATCTTGTTCACCTTTGTGTCTCCACTTCCTACACACACGCAGTTAGTGCCATCAGAATCCCTGAGCCTCAAGGACTCACTGCTCCCAATGCTGGGGCCCTGAGTTTGATCTCTGATCAGGGAACTAAGACCATAAAAGGTTGAGGAGCATAGCCAAAAAAAAAAGTGTTATTGGATAGATGCATGCATGGATGGATGAATGGGTACATGGAAAGATGGATGGATGAAGGGGTGGATGGATGAAGGGGTGGATGGATGAATGGATGGATGGATGGATGGATGAAGGGGTGGATGGATGGATGGATGAAGGGGTGGATGGATGGATAAATGGATGGCTGGATGGATGAACGGGTAGATGAATGGATGGATGGATAGATGGATGGATGGATGGATGGATGGATGGATGGATACATGCATAGATGGATGGATGGATGGATGGATGAAGGGGTGGATGGATGAATGGATGGATGGATGGATGGACAGATGGATGGATGGATGAAGGGGTGGATGGATGGATAGATGAAGGGGTGGATGGATGGATAAATGGATGGCTGGATGGATGAATGGATAGATGAATGGATGGATGATAGATGGATGGATGGATGGATGGATGGATACATGGATAGATGGATGGATGAAGGGGTGGATGGATGAATGGATGGATGCATAGATGTATGGATGGATGGATGGATGAAGGGGTGGATGGATGAATGGATGGATGGATGGATGGATGGATGAAGGGGTGGATGGATGGATGGATGGATGGATGGATGGATAGATGGATGGATGGATGAAGGGGTGGATGGATGAATGGATGGATGGATAGATGGATGAATGGATGAAGGGGTGGATGGATGAATGGATGGATGGATGGATGGATAGATGGATGGATGGATGGATGGATGAAGGGGTGGATGGATGGATAAATGGATGGCTGGATGGATGAATGGATAGATGAATGGATGGATGGATAGATGGATGGATGGATGGATGGATGGATACATGGATAGATGGATGGATGGATGGATGAAGGGGTGGATGGATGAAAGGATGGATGCATAAATGGATGGATGGATGGATGGATGGATGAAGGGGTGGATGAATGGATAGATGGATGGATGGATGAATGGATAGATAAGTAGATGGATGGATGCATGCATGCATGCATGCATGGATAGATGGATGCATGGATGCATGCATGCATGGATGGATGGATAGATGGATGGATGGATGAATGGATGAATAGATGGATGGATGGATGGATAAGGGGGTGGATGGATGGATGGATGAAGGGGTGGATGGATGGATAAATGGATGGCTGGATGGATGAACGGGTAGATGAATGGATGGATGGATAGATGGATGGATGGATGGATGGATGGATGGATGAAGGGGTGGATGGATGAATGGATGGATGGATGGATGGATAGATGGATGGATGGATGAAGGGGTGGATGGATGGATGGATGAAGGGGTGGATGGATGGATAAATGGATGGCTGGATGGATGAATGGATAGATGAATGGATGGATGATAGATGGATGGATGGATGGATGGATGGATGGATACATGGATAGATGGATGGATGGATGGATGAAGGGGTGGATGGATGAATGGATGGATGCATAGATGTATGTATGGATGGATGGATGAAGGGGTGGATGGATGAATGGATGGATGGATGGATGGATGGATGAAGGGGTGGATGGATGGATGGATGGATGGATAGATGGATGGATGGATGAAGGGGTGGATGGATGAATGGATGGATGGATAGATGGATGAATGGATGAAGGGGTGGATGGATGAATGGATGGATGGATGGATGGATAGATGGATGGATGGATGAAGGGGTGGATGGATGGATGGATGAAGGGGTGGATGGATGGATAAATGGATGGCTGGATGGATGAATGGATAGATGAATGGATGGATGGATAGATGGATGGATGGATGGATGGATGAAGGGGTGGATGGATGAAAGGATGGATGCATAAATGGATGGATGGATGGATGGATGGATGAAGGGGTGGATGAATGGATAGATGGATGGATGGATGAATGGATAGATAAGTAGATGGATGCATGCATGCATGCATGCATGCATGGATAGATGGATGCATGCATAGATGGATGCATGGATGCATGCATGCATGGATGGATGGATAGATGGATGGATGGATGAATGGATGAATAGATGGATGGATGGATGGATAAAGGGGTGGATGAATGGATAGATGAAAGCATGGATGGATGAAAGGATGGGTGGATGAAGATATGCATGGATGGATGGATAGATGGATGGATGGATAGATGGATGGATGGATGGATGGATGGATGGATGGATGGATGGATTTCTTCATGATGCTGTACTAGCTGAAAAACCAATTCATCAGTCAATTAACTAAGTCAACATGGACCCATCAATTGCTCTCTAAGTGTTTTTACACAGCCCTCTTCCCCTGGAGAGTCGGGGTAGGACACCCACAGAGATGCTGGCTCAGCACCCCCGGCTCTCACCTCATTCCTTCTGCAGCCATCTTGTCCAGGTTGGCGGTGTCCTTCGTGCCTGCCCAGTTGGCTCCCAGGTCACCCCAACCCATGTCATCCGCCAGAATGATCACGAAATTCGGTTTCTGGCCTCTTGTTTCCCCACTGAAGCTAAAATCCACGAGAGGATAAAGACATCCCAGGAAACTCAGCCCCACCAACAAGACCTTTAGGGAAAGCCAGGCCATGGTGATCGGGGAGGATTCTGAGTCTGTGAAGTGACACGGTGGTGGAGTCTGCCAGAAGACACCGGGGGTGATGGGGACACCTATTGGGGTGTTGGGGGCTACAGAAACGAGGCCCCCACCTGGAATCCTAATTCAAGTCAGGAGACTCCAGCCCTGAACGTGGCTTTCTCCAGCCCAGCTCTGGGAGGGGGCGGGCAGCGTGCGGCAGTCAGACCACAGTGTCACAGCTGCTTTCGGCCACTGGGAAAACGAGCCCTCAGTTCAGGACGGTGTGAGCCGGGGCACAGGCCGTGCAGCTGTTCGGGGCTCCAGCTGGTGAGTGCGGGATAAACGCTCACATCTGTGAAACACCTGGACGGTCCAGAAGCCACAGTCCTCCCCAGTTGAGTTTCTGAGTTCCAGATGGTGGAAGGCTTCGTGTGTCTGTAAGGTTTCCTGAAAGAACAGAAATTGACAAGAAAACAGAGTTAAAACTGCCAGTGCAGCTGTGTTTTACTCAGTAGCTTAGGAAATAATCACTTTCCCATGCCAACACATGTTTTCCTTCTTATTGAACGGGTTCATCAGTTTCTCCACCTGAGAATTAGGGATGGTAATAATACTTGCAATAGGCCGATGATTACAGGGCTGGAATCAGCATTAGAGACGATGTCTGAACCCGCTCACTGAATGGGGGGGATATTCTGAGGCCCCATGTTCCAGATCGGGGGATAGGAGCCAGCACCCCACTCTGTGAAATGCCAGTGCTCCCCGACTGCCGCCCCATCATGTTTCCCTGCCTCGCGAGAAACCAAGTGCAAACGTGTCAAGCCCATCAAGGACTCTAGAAGAAGGGGCGAGACCCTTCCTACCAAGACGTGCTCCTTCCTAACAGTCAGGCTGTAAACTAGCATGCTATACAACAGCAGTTTAGTTTGGATTTTTGGCTGCACCTTCGTTCTCCTACCAGGGACAGAACGAGAGCACCGAGTCCTGACCACGTGGACTTTATTGGCATTTATTTGGAATTCCCAAATAAAAGAGCAGTCTGTACTTTTTTTGTGGTTGCACTGCGCAGCATGCAGGATTGCAGTACCCAGACCAGGGTCAGACCCAGGTCCCTTCAGCGGCAGCTTGGAGTCTGAACCACTGGCCCGCCAGGGCAGTCCCTCTGTATGAAGCTCTTGATGGAAAGCCGGGGGGAAAGGGAAGGAAAATAATTAAGTTAATGGTTGGATCTGGGTGGACAGTCCAGGGAGCTTACTGTAGAACTCATTCCACTTTGCTGTACATTTGAAATGTTTCATAATAAAATGTTAGGGAAAAAAATGTCCAAAATGTGTTTAATGGAAATGTGTCCCTTTACATCTTGACAATGTAATTTGTAAAAAGAAAATCTTAAGTCAACCAGTGCTTCTCACATTTTGATGCACATACAAATCAACTGGAGAGTTTATTAAAGTGCAGGTTCATTACGTGAGGCTGGTATCTGGAAACTGTATTTCTAATGTAGTCTTTGGATCACATTTTGAGTAGCAAGTTGCTTAAAGGAAAAAAAAAAAAAATCAAGGACTTCCTTGGTGGTCCAGTGGTTAAGAATCCAGCTGCCAATGCAGGGGACACAGGTTTGATCCCTGGCCGACGAAGGTCCCACATGGTGTGGGGCAACTATGCCCGTGAGCCACAGCCCCTGAGCCACGTGCTGCAGCTACGGAAGCCCGTGAGCCGAGGGCCCATGGTCCACAGCAAGAGAAGCAACTGCAAGAAGAAGCGGCACTCCGCAACTGGAGAGCAGCCCCCGCTCCCACAACTAGAGAAAGCCCGCCCGCAGCAAAAGACCCAGCACAGCCACAACACACAACGACCCAAATGATTCAAAACAAGCAAAGGGAAGTGTGTCAGTCGCTCAGTCATGTCCGATTCTTTGCTCGCCCACGAACTGTAGCCAGCCAGGCTCCTCTGTCCATGGAATTCTCCAGGCAAGAGTCCTGGAGTGGGTTGCCATGCCCTTTTCCAGGGGATCTTTCCGACCCAGGTCTCCTGCATTGCAAGTGGATTCTTTACCATCTGAGCCACCAGGGAAGCCACAAACAAACAAACAAAAAATTAAGATTCTGGTCCTAGAAAAAAACAAACCTAACTGGAGGTGATTAACATAACTAGAGATGATTCAGCTTCAGTGGAAAAACACAAAAGCAATGAATCAGGTTGAGTTTTGAAAGACAGAAATGGAAGGTTATGCTTTCAACTGCAGGCTGCAAATGGAAACAGAGAATAAAACCATATTACCCCTAGTTCACCTAAAAGCCCTAAATTGACTAGGTTGGTAAGGAGACATAGACTTGAAATTCTGGATCAGATTTTAAACGTCTCTATGGAACACCCAACCTATTAAAGGAGAACCAAGTTATAATAAATAAAGACGCTACTAGGGCTGGGACTTCCCAGGTGGCACTAGTGGTAAAGAACCTGCCTGCCTGCGCAGGAGACGTAAGAGAGTGGGTTCGATCCCTGAATCAGGAAGATCCCCTGGAGGAGAGTGGGGCAACCCACTCCAGTATTCTTGCCTGGAGAATCCCATGGACAGAGGAGCCTGGCGGGCTGCAGTCCACGGGGTCACAAAGAGTCAGACACGACTGAAGCGACTCAGCACAGCACACACCAGGGCTGGGGTGTTGAGAGATGCCATCTGTATCCCTGCCTTTGAGGAAGGAATGAACAGCGAACAGATCCAGCCAGCCAACCCAAAGGCCAACCGGCTGGATGGGAGTGGCTGGAGGTATGTAAGTTCTGGAAGATCCAGATAAACTCGGAAGGAGAGGCAGATATGCACGTCATCAAAATAAAAGGAATTCCAAGTCAATAGTCATGGTCATCTGGAGGGCAATGAATCAATTGTTCAGAAATGCAAATTCCTCTGTTTTCCAAAAGGAAAGTTAATATTTCAAACTCAATTAGATTCAACTGGTATTTGTTGATCCTGAGGCCCCAAAGACTTCTCCCTTTCTAGAAGAAAAAGCCTTTGCACACAGAGGGAGCCTACAAACACTTGTTGACTTGTCTCACTGTACTGGCTTCTGACCATGAGCAACAGTCAGAGGAAGCTTTTCTTCTTAAAGCCACTTAGCTTGGAACCCTAGAGCCTCTAGTTCTTCATCCATAATCCATTTCAGGATGACCCAGCACGAAACCTTCCAGGGAGTGGGGGAAAACCACTGAAGAAGGAAGTTAAAATTAAGGTGGGAACAGAAATAAACAGATTGTCTTTCTTAAGAATTCTATGATAAAACATTCCTCTGAGGTTTTTCAAAGAGGGTCATTAGTCCTTACAATTTTTATAGAATGGAAATAAGCTAATTTAGCCAGTACACCATCCTCCTCCTCCACGCCCACACCTCCAGGGAGACATTTAATACTTTCCCCCACTTATTGTTTTTAACTAAAGGGAAAAAGCAAGTCAGACGTTCAAAGATTGGTCTCCAAGCCACAAACCTTGATTAAGATCCAGGCTGACATTATGGAAAACAGTATGGAGGTTCCTCAGAACATTAAAAATAGAATGGCCATACAATCCCACAATCCCACTTCTCAGGGTATATCCAGAGGAGATGAGATTAAGATCTTGAATAAATACCTGCACACCCGTGTTTACTGCAGCATTATTCACCAAGTGTCCAGTAACGGGTGAACTGGTAAAGAAAATATGCCGTCTATCTTACACACACACACACAATGGAATTAGTGGACCTTAAGAAAAAAAGGAAATTCTTCTGCATTTATAACAACCTGGATGAACCTGGAGGATGTTCTGCAAAATGAAATAAGCCAGGCACAGAAAGATAAATATCTCCTGATCTCACATAGTGATCTCACTTCTACGTGGAGTCTAACAAAGCAGAACACGCAGAAGCAGAGAGGGGATGGTGGTTGCCAGGGGCCAGGGGGTGGGGGAAGGGAGTTTGTCAAAGTACAAACATTCAGTTATTTGGAATCAACCACCTCTGGGCATCTAATGTCCAGCACGCTGAGCAGAGTTCAAGAAACTACACTGCAAACTTCACATTCACTAGCAGCAGACCTTCAGTGTTTCTACCACCAAAACAATTTTAAAGGTGACCATGAGATGAGGGATGTGTTGATTAGCTTGACTGTGGTCATCACTTTGTAATGTATGTATATATCAAAACAATACATTGTACAGACAACAAATACAGTTCTTGACAGTGGACATGAACTTGTGCAAACTCCGGGAGATGGCAAGGGACAGGGAAGCCTGGCGTGTTGCAGTCCATGGGGAAGCGAAGCGTCAGACATGACTCGGTGACTGAACAACAGGCAAGAAATCCAATTTTCATTCGTCGGTTGTGCTTTGGTAAAGTTGGGCTGTTATCGCTTTTTTAAGTATCCAAGCTCTGGGACTGCCCTGGAGGTCCCGTGGTTGGGACTCCGCGCTCCCAACGCAGGCAGCACAGGATCCCCCGGTCGGTAAGCTCCAAGACCCTACAAGGCGCATGTGTCTTAGCTGCTCAGTCGTGTCTGACTCTCTGCCACCCCACGCACTGCAGCCTGCCAGGCTCCTGTCCATGGGATTCTCCAGGCAAGAACACGAGTGGGCTGCCGTGCCCTCCTCCTGACCGGAGGTGGAACCCAGGCCTCCTGAGTGGCAGTCAGAGTCTCTGCCGTCTCAGCCACCAGGGAAGCCCCACAGTGTGCACGGCAAGGCCAAACAAATAAATAAAAATAAAAATTTTAAAATGCATATCCAGGCTGAGACTCTGAGCTGTGTCTTATCTGAGGTCACTTTCCCCAATTTTCTTTACACATCACACTTCCCATCTCCGAAGGGGGTGTGGTCACAGGCAAGGAGCACTCCTGGGGGCTTAGGAAGAAAGGGGGAGGGACCCCCCGGTGGTCCCCTGGTTAAGACCTGGCGCTTCCAACGCAGGGGGCCCGAGTTCAGTCCCTGGTCAGAGAGCGAAGATCCCACGTGCTGCTTGGTGTGGCCAAAAAAAGAAGGCAAA